GCCTGGCCGGAGTCGGCTCGCCTTACTCGTCCTCCTCCTCCTCCTCCTCTTCCTCCTCCTCCTCCCTCCTTCCTCTTCTCCTCCTTCTCCCGCCGCCCTTCCTTTCCAGCGCCGGCAGGCAAGGGCGGGTCTCCAGCAGCCTCTCCGCGTACCCTCCGGGCGTGCAGATCCCAGCTTGTCCAGACCCCGCCGGGAGCCTCCCTGCGCCCTGGAGGGCGGGAGCCGAGCCGAAGCGAAAGGGAGGCAATCCCAGCCCCCTGGCTTCCGGGGTGGGGAGAGCGAGGATCTGGGCACTGGGACGGGAACGGGGAGGGGAGGGGGGCCAAGAAGAGGGAGGAGGGAAAAGGGGAGGGGAAGGGTGGAGAGGAGCTCGGGGGGGGAAAGAGAAAAGGAGGCCAAGCGGTGTTCCAGTATTTGAGGGGCTGCCGCAAAGAAGAAGAGGGGGTGGGGGGTGTTCAACCTATTTTCCAAAGCCCCGGAAGGTCAAACAAGAAGCAACGGATGGAAAAATAATCCAGGAGAGAAGCAACCTGGAATTTAAGGAGAAACATCCTAACAGTGAGAACCATTAACCGGTGGAACGACTGGCCTCCAGATGTTGCGGGTGTGCCGTCCCTGGAGGGTTTTTTTTTTTAAAGAAGAGATTGGACAGCCACTTGTCTGAAATGGATCAGGTCTCCTGCCTGAGCAGGGGGGGGGGGTTGGGCTAGAAGACCTCCAAGGGTCCCTTCCAGCTCTTTTCTGATTGAAAGGCTCGACCAAGTTGGACGAGGTGACTCCTGGCCACTCAAGGCTGCTGGTTTTCGGCTTGGACAGCCAAATGGGAGCCCTGCCGTGGACGCCAACGCTTTCAGTGCTTCCCACCGGGAAGTGAAGAGGCTCTTGCAGGTCGTGGGAAGACCGGCTTCCCACGACCTGGATCCCCATCCACACGTTGCACTGAAGCCGCTTGCTTAGCTTCGGGTTTCGCCGTGCTAAAGCGGGGAGGGCTGGACTCGCGCGAGCTGGACTTCAACTCCCAGGATTCCTCAGGCAGCAAGGGGCATTGCTAAGGATTCTGGGAGCTGAAGCCCACCCAGCTTGGAGAGGCGAAGGCTGGGAAGCAGGGCTCATCTAGACTAGAGCAGGGGTCTTCAACCTTGGCCAGTTTAAGACTTGTGGACTTCAACTCCCAGAATTCCTCAGCCAGCTTTGCTGGCTGAGGAATTCTGGGAGTTGAAGTCCACAAGTCTTAGTGGCCAAGGTTGAGGACCCCTGATCTAGAGATGACCTTGACATATTGTTTGCTGTGTCTTAGCAACATGGTTTACACTGGTTTACACTGCACAACATGGTTTACATTGGAGGAAATGGCATGGTGGGCATATATCTGCGTCTGTGGTTAGATGCCTTTCACCTTCTCCGTATCCTGGTGGCTTAGCAGACAAAGAAAGGAATGGAAGAAGGGAGGAAGGGACAGCAGGAATGGAAAAGTTTGAAACAACTCTGGCCCCAATCCAATAACTCATTTGTGCCAACCACATGACCGTAGGGTGCCTACTGGGTATTATTGCCTGTCTGGGACTGAACTATAAACTAAATTTAGCAGCCCTGGAGAGAAATTGCATTTCCTGTGGAAAACCTAGTCTGAGTCATTGGCTGGACGACATCTGAGCAAAGAAGAGCATTCTGAGGACACTACGGAAGCTGGCAGATAAATAATCAACATGATATCGCGGATTCCTGTCTATGGGCAGGGCTGGGCTTTGATTTAACATGGAGTCCCAAAGGTGCTTTTTCACGAGTCAACTGGTTCTTTGAAGACATTTCGCTTCTCATCCCAGAAGCTTCTTCAGCTCTGACTGGATGGCGGGGAATGGAAGAAGCCTCTTGGAGGAGAAGCAAAACTTCTTCAAAGGAAAACAAGAACGTCCAGTTGCCTCGTGAAAAAGCACCTTTGGCATAACTGTGACCTGGGTGACTGGGAATCTCCATAGACATTTAACACGGAGCTTTTTGTGTTTCCAACAATACCGTATGCCGTGTGTATTATAGAGTCCCTGCCTTACAACCATTCATTTAGTGCAGGGGTCCCCAACCTTAGCTGGCTGGGGAATTCTGGGAGTTGAAGTCCACAGGTCTTAAAGTGGCTAAGGTTGGGGACCCCTGATTTAGTGGACTCCCGCGAGCTGCTGAATCCATCACCGGGTGGCCCTTTAGATCTGCATTTCTCAACCTCGGCTGCTTTAAGAGATGTGGACTTCAAATCCCAGAATTCCCCAGGCAACATGGGCATGGCTAAGGATTCTGGGAGCTGAAGTCCACCCAGCTTGGAAAGGCAAAGGCTGGGAAGCCGCGCTCATCTAGAGAAGACCTTGCAAGCTGATATATTGTTTGCTGCGACGGGGCACAAGCGTTCAAAATTGTCCAGCCCGGAAAAAAATGACATACAGCTGTCAGTCCTTGCACTTAAGACCGTTGCAACATCCCCATGTTAACAGGATCAAAATTCAGGGTGCTTGGCTACTGATATGTATTTACAACCATTGCAGCATCCTGGATTATGTGATCACCATTTCCGGCTTCAGGCAAGCAAAGTCCATGGGAGAAATCGGATTCACTTTAACGACTGCTTGATTCATTTAATGACTGTGGAGAGTTGCTTAACAACCCGTGGCAAAAAAAAGGTTGTAGAAACAGGTGCAATTTACTTAACAAACGCCTCTTCCTCCTTCAACATGGCTTGGACATAAAAAGAGAGATAGAGAGGAAAAATAGAGGGAGAAGTAAACAACAGCACTGTAAAGGTCCAGAATAAGGGAGAGAGAAAAAAATTAAAGTGTTTTCCTATTTTCTTTGCAGCGGTTACAAATATAATTATTACCATTCCTGCCCTCCCAAATAATATATTATGGTTCTCTTCTCATACACAGTCCTTTATAACCAGTAAATCCAGAGATCAATTCATTTTTATCCAGCAAAAAGTTCATAAAACTACTTTTCTAAAAGTAGTTATTGCTACTTCTCTAGTCAAGCAATTAAATTTATGTGGCTTATGGTTTGATCGAACTGGACCAAGCTGATGATTCCAATAACACCCCAATTCCTCTCATTTAACCTCCTTCTCCCCCCCCCCCAATTTCATTGTATTTGGGTTTTTTATTAGCTTTTAACAAACTTCTAATGAGCCAATCCATCTTAATAAGCACTGGGAGTTGCAACATTCACTTTGCCATTTTAAATACTGTTTATTCCATTTTTTTTAACCTCCCGCTTGTCAGTAATGCATTTTTAATTGGATGTTGGGTTTTTAATAGTTGCCGACTATTTTGGAATTCATTCTGAAGGGCAATGTGTAAATATTTAAAACAAACAAAGATTTAATGGACTGTTTAGATTATTTCACGGTGATCACCCAGTCACAACCTCTGGTGAGACTGTATTGAAAACCTGGATCATTTCTAAAGAAGCACCTGTGCTTGTTAATTAATATACACAGAATTTATGCAAACCTGTCTCTTCTTTTGAGTTGTATTTATTTACTTTGCCAATTCACAAGTGGCTAAATGCCAGTCAAACCAACTAGGCCTGGCCCAGAACAGGTATTTCTCCCCCTCCTAAAGTTGATTTTAGCTTATTCTTGACACGAGATGACAGGTTTTTAAGTACAATTTCTTTCTCACTCTCGCTTTTTAATATCAGTTGTATTAAAAGGATATAAAGGAAGTATAAAAACGAAGCAAAGATAATACAAAACAAAGAAACAAAGAAAAAAGAGAAAAAAGACAGGTGCAGAAACAAGCAATAAAATTAGAAAAAGGATTCCAATTTCTTTGCCACGAACACAAGCATAATCACCAAGTTATCTCTTACTCTGTGGTTAAAAGAAGCTCACTTTTTTCTATTACCTATTTTTTTTTCTAAACATCAAAGCCACAAGTACATTTTTTTTCTGTTTCATGCAAACGTCTGTCGATCAACCATACATTTAAATGCTGCCTTTTCTTTCATCAAGAGAGATGCAGTTTAACCGACCCTAAAATGCTGAGCTTTTCAGATTTTTAAGCATATAATAATCTTGCTGCAGATGTAGGTTTTAAGTGCAATTCACATTTGGAAATACGACAACCGCTTCTGTACTCCAAGGGCAGGAAGAGGCATAATTGCCAGCCCAAAACCACACATTTAGATTTCTTCTGGATTTTTTTCAATCAGAAAGAGAAGTCCAGAAGGCTTAAAATGGCCAAGGTTGAGAAAAAAGACTGGAGCCAGCATCCTTCCAAGGATGCCCGAGTGAATAGACCTGTCGGCTTCCGCTGACCAGAGGTTCCCGAGAGTTAACTCGCAATTGGCCGCATTCACAAGACCAGCAAAACCACGGTGGAGAAACCACGCCGGCTCAGCCCTTCCCAGCACAGGCTGAGCCCCCAAACCACACCAGGGCTGCCTTCTCGCACCTTATCCACGCCACCACGGTTGCACGCAAGTCCCACAGCATCCCTCGCATTCTCACAACCCCCGAAAGCCTCACTGCGCTGCCTGGGAAACCCGCAGGGAGGCGGTCCCTTCTCGGAACAGCGGGGAGAAGGAGGAGGAGGGGGGGGTGAAGAGGAGAAGGGGAAAGCCACGCCCTCCCCGTGACGTTGCCACGCGAGAGCCGGGTGGGCGGTGCTTGCTGGCTCCTCCTCCTCCTCCTTCTCCTCGCCCTCGCCTTTCTGCGCTCTATGCTCTCGGCGGCCGCCTCCGGTCGGCTGGCTCCCGCGAGAAGTGACAGCCGAGCTCTCGCGAGACTTCCGGCGCTGCCGCAGAAGAAGCCGCTCCGCCGCGCTGAGGGAGAAGGCAGGCGAAGGCGACGCCGAAGGGCGCCCGAGCCTCTATCGCCCGCCTCCTCCTCCTTCCTCCTCCTCCTCTCTCTCGTCTCCCCTTCCCTCGCCTCACCTCCCTCATCGGCCGCCCCCGCGCCCCCTGCCCGCCCTTCCTCCTCCTCCTCCTCCTCCTCCGCTCGCGGACCCACCGGGACGATGCTGCGGGGCCCGACCTCCCTGCCCGCGGCCCTCTCGCTCCTCCTGGCCACGGCGGGGAGCCTCTGGCCGACGCCGGTCGGCGCGCAGAACGGTGAGGGAAGGCGGCCTCGGCGGCGCGGGGGGGGGGAGAAAGCCTTGAGGGGGCAAGGAGCCGATCTGAGGCGACGATTGACAGGGGGCGGGGCCGAGGAGGGCGGGGCGCCTCAGGTGAGACGGGTGGGCGGGGCCAGGAGGGTCGAAGGAATTCTGCCTCTCGGCTCGTCTCTGGCAGGGCGAGCGAGGCCGGATCTGGATGGGAGACCACTAGGAAATCCCAAGCTACCTTTGGAAAAGGGAAAGGGAGGCAGTGGCAGGAAAAGCTGCAGGGAGGTTATCCAGGGAAGGCCGGTTTGTCATCCCGGTCGCCCTTTCCCTCCCTTAGGCATTGCTGAGGGTGGATCTGTTGCAGCAAAAGGCAAGGAAGGGTCAAATGGACAAAGGTGCTCAGGGTTTGGGCAGGGAGCAGGGGAGAAGTAATGCCCTTGAAGTGTAGCCAGGTTGGGGGGGTTACAGGCCATGTGGTCAGATGTGTGCATTTATCTACATTAGCCTGCCCTAATCCAAGCCCTCCAGATGTGCAGACACAAGAATCTCCAGGCTGCACAGCTAAGAGCTAAGAATTCTGGGAATTGTAGTGACAACAGGCCCGGATAAAATAGGTTGGAGGAGGTTGGGGACTAGAGGCATTGGAAATGGATGCAAGGGTAAATTGCCCTTAAGGTATTCCAGTTCATTGTTTGCATCATTGCTTGTTAGCTGGAAGAAGATTAAAGGGATGAGGAATACAGAAGCAAGAATGAAGAAGAGGGGCCGAGTACTGTTGTTAACATAAGTTGGCTTTATTGGGGAAACTGCTCTTGGATCATTGGCAATAAGCCCTGGTAACCAAAAACCCAATGGCATTTATTGCTATAGGATTAGGAAACAATATTGCTATATTGCTTTTAGTGATCGTCTGAAATTTGATTGAAAACTGCCCTCTATTTATGCATGCAGTATGTAAGCTCTTTAATATAAAAATACAACATTATCTGTAGAGGTGATCAAAATGTTTGACCTGAAATGCAGGAAGCATGTGGAAATCAGATGTACTTGCTAAGATTTGCTACAGGGCAATGCATAAAACAGTTTCCCAACTCAGTATGTCCCAGATGTGTTAGAACTGCAGTCCCTCAAATTCTCAGCATGGTCCAAAAGTGCAAGATTGGCTGTTAACTCTGCAGGCTAGGTCCAGATCTCTGCATTGCCACAAAGCTGACTTATTAACCTTAAAATGGCTGATCTAGCTTAGCATGTTCCTAGAAGCTGATGGAAGGAAGGCAATAAAAGATAGATAAAAATCTGTGGCAGTATCAAGAGATGAGTTAGGGCAATAAGAAGACAATTAATTTAAATTGGCAAGAGGTTTAATAATATGGGTAGGTGGCAGCAAGGAAAGGACAGAGCAGAAGTAGAGGGTCAAGAATCTAGAACACACAAAATATATAGTTATCAGCTGAACATTTTGGAGGAAACCGTGCTGCTCATGCAGGACCAAAAGGTTTAAAAAGAGGAAAAAAAATATTCTCCTATGTCCCTTTCCAGACAGACAGTCAGTCCTTCTATCTTCAGTTGTTTAAAGAGGAGGAAATTGGTCCATTTTAATGAGTACGTTATAGCTTTTCTGCAGCCTTTCTGTTCATTCCCAAGCTTTCCCCCCCCAAAAAATGCCTAAGAATAGCTTAAGTATAAAGCAAAGAAACATGGCAATGAAAATGTTTAGAGATGTCTGTGTTGTAAGACAAAAGCATGCTTTGTTACTGTCGTTAATGGGATTCCTAAAGGAGTCCGTGTCACTGCTCTTTTGAATAATGGGTGCATTCTGTTCGATCAGATAGAACATCTGTATGCCTTGTGCTCCTTCACAACACAAGAGGGTTCTTCTGATAGGTCTATCATGGAAAATCTTTTCTGCTCCAGAGAATTGTGAGAAACATGAGTTTGCATCCGAGTGAGTGATGATTGTCAGTAGAGAGAGTATCAAATGAATACAGGAAAAAGACTCAGGAAGCATTTTTGAGGTAAAAGACCAAAAGATGAGCACTTAGGAGCAATATCACAATTGAACGCTATAGTAGAAAATTGATTTGTTATTTTGATACCAAAATTATACGGTTTTTTCCCCTTTACTTTCTTCCCAGCATGACCAGTATTTTCAGAAAGACGGTTCTGAAAATGATAGAACATCGATTTCTGAATTCTTAATTTTAAACAAGAAATTGAAGGGGGAGTTGTGTATGGCTTTCATTTTTTCCTGTGATTGTAGTAATCTGGAAAATGATATCAAAATTTGAACTGCTTTTAAGTCAAGTTGACTAGAAAACAAGAAATTACAAATAAGAGTAAACCTGCAGTACTTGCAAAGAACCAGTTTGGACTGTTTATATTGTGTGCTATCATGCCAAATCTGCATTAAGGCAAAATTAGTAACAGAATTGTAGAGTTAAGTGGTTAAGTCTTAAAATTGTGGTCTAGAAATTCATTGAACAACTTTATGGGACAGATCACTTACAGACTTTGGATATATATTCCAGCTTTCTGGCAGATCATTACAAGAAGATGGTTTGTCTAGTTTGCCTACATTTGGCAGTGTAAACAAGGATTGTTTCAAATCCCTTACAGTAGAAATATTCAGACTTTTACTCTTTAGTAACATATGACAATAACTGGCTTTGATAGGATGAAGCAGTCTGCAAAAGCTAATGATAATAAGCAGGTATCTTCAGAATAATAACTGACTTATATCATGAAAGTGAGACAAGGCTGAAGACCTATCTTTCCATGCATTTATTTGACCTTGGAAATATTAGTGTGGGTGGTGCTAATGTTGAAAAAAACAAAGATCTCCATTTTGGTCATTGTACTACAGAGGATTGCTATTAAAATTAAAATCTATTGTCTTGAGTGTAGCTACTATAAAAATCGAAGTGGTCTGGGGCAAAGATACATTTAAATTAAGAGGTTTGCCAAGTAACGTCAATTTATTATGCACATTTCACAAAAGTGTCTTGATAGCAGTGGTTAAATATAAATTCTACTCATTACACGACTTATATTTCAGTTGTGCCTGTTCATAAGCACTAAATATATATATTGGTCTTGGCTTCCCTGTGAAACCATATTAAAGGATTAGCCTCCTAGATCAGGGGTAGTCAACCTTGGCTCTTTTATGACTCGTGGACTTCAACTCCCAGAATTCCTGAGCCAGCTAAGCTGGCTCAGGAATTCTGGGAGTTGAAGTCCACGAGTCATAAAAGAGCCAAGGTTGACTACCCCTGTCCTAGATGGAACCCAAAAGCTTGAAAATACAAAGATGACTCAAGCAGAACTCATTTTGAACAACTCCACTTCCTGCTAACTGGTGTAGGATGGCACCAAGCAAAGGAAGGATTCTGCTTGCATTTTTATTAAGGTTATGTATATTTTAGCAGTACTGTCAGAACAGAGGGAGAATGGCTCGGCAGGAGAGTATATATAGCTACGCACGAGCCTGTATTATGATTCTGCAACATTATCATTCTCCAGCAGAGCTTTTAGTGAGGTGATGCCTTTTGGCCCCATTAATGATTTATTATAATTATGGCCCATTCCATGACTTGCTGCATAGAACCTGCAGACAAAACGTACCTTAAGATACGTAATGTTTGGATTTGTATTGTTGTTAGAGGCTTCTTCAGAACGCCTTTCTGCTTGTCGAAATTATTTGTCACCATCGCGAAGGAACCAATTGAAGCTGATTGTACAAAATATCCACCTATACACCTATTTAATAATTCAAAATTATTAAATAGGTGTATAGCACTAGTCAAGATTATAGCAGTAGTCAGAAACTTACCTTAATTAGGTTTCCAGACATTCTGTTCAGTTGTGCTTTTATCAGAAGATCGTTTCATACCTAGGTGGGGTTCCAGAACTGTGAAAGCAAAAATGTGACAGCTATAGAATATAGATATATAGCTGTACTGGTTGCGTTTTCGCCAAATTAGGATTGAAAATGTAGTTCCAAAGTTTTAACTGTAATTTTTTAAGAGCGTAATGCCCCATGCTTTCTTCACTATTTAGAAGACCAGAAACTTTGCAGTAGCTACATTATTAAGAAATAATCAGCAGCGTAGAGTTAAATCAGCAAATATTTTATACTTTTCTTGCCACCACATTTGAAACTGGAAAGTGACTGTGACAGGAATGGTGCCTGATCTCATACTGAGGTACTTTGTCAAATTGGAGGCAAAAACTGAGTTCTTCCTTGGCTGATTTATACCATATTGACTTCCAACACTAGTTGGCTTATTTCATGATTGAATGCATATTGGAATATAAGGGAAATGGCTGTCTCTAACTCTCCAGGTGACTCAGTGTATAAACAAGCAGGTAACCTTCTATGTTATCTTGAAATATTTTGCAATCTAGGTTAGGCATTGTTTGACTAACAGAAAAGTAATCTTATAACTTTAGGTAATTAGTAATCTAGATAATTAGATGAAGTGAGAGCCAGTTAAATGTAGTGGTTAAGGCATTAGGCTAGAAACCAATTTCATCCTGCCTTGGGCACAAAGCTAGCCCACATATACTTGGACATGGGATTGAGAACAAACAAATTCTTAGTATTATGAAAAACCACATATCCCTCTTATGCTATTTTGGTTCCAGAGCTCAAAAGATACTAATTTAAAGGAACTGAAAATGCTGATTCAGTTCTGAGGAATTGGTTGGGGGGGGGGAAATAGAGATCTACATGGCACGGGATAATTATTTGGTGTGTGACTATAACAGTAGCATGATTGTATGCCTAATTTTTGCACCTTTGTGGATCCATTTGTTTTTAATCAGCCTAAGTTTATAGTAATACAGCGACTATTGCAACATAAGAATTCTTTAACTTGGCTGCTATAAGATGTTTAGGACAATTTATCTGACTATCATACCACCCCCTGGACTTGAAATAAGAGGAGATCAAACCACAAGCATAATGAAGTGCTGGTTATAATAGAGAGCTTTTTCTAATCCCAATGTTAAATCCAAAGGAGATAATAAAGGAGAATTATTGAAGTTTAAACAAAAGGAATTCCTGATAAGACTAAGATGTCAACCCAGTTTCTTACCTCCTCCCTTGGAGCTATTATTATTAGATGCAACGAAGAGAAAAATAAATAGATAGATGCAGTCTCTTTCTGTTGCAGACTATAAATAAATCTGTAAAATCTGATGGCTTGTCTCCCCTCTCACTTTTCTTCTTTTGAACTCACACTATAACCACTGTTGTAGATGGGCATGTCTCTCTTTTTGTTTTGGTTTTTGTTTTTTTTTGTGGTTCTGCAATTTCATTTGCTTTCTTTATAAGATCTGTTGTTTTTTTTTCCCCTGTTCATTCGTCATGGCATTTCTGCTGCCCCTTTCCTTTCTAGCTGGGTTTGTCAAGTCGCCTATGTCAGAGACTAAGCTCACAGGGGACGCCTTTGAACTGTATTGTGACGTGGTTGGGAACCCCACCCCAGAGATCCAGTGGTGGTACGCAGAAGTCAACCGGGCTGAATCTTTCAAACAGCTGTGGGATGGTGCTCGAAAGCGCCGTGTCACCATTAACACGGCCTACGGGGTGAATGGCGTGAGCGTGCTGAGAATCACTCGTCTTACCTTGGAAGACTCTGGGACATATGAGTGCAGGGCGAGCAACGATCCCAGAAGGAATGACTTGAGGCAAAATCCTGCCATAACGTGGATACGAGCCCAGGCTACTATAAGCGTCCTTCAGAGTGAGTTCAGTTCCTCAGAGCAGTAGTGCTGTAGTCTCTAGAGGCACTCCCAGTGATCCTCACCCCTTCTCTTGTGACCCCTTAGTATCACCACCCACCGATTGTCTTTGTTGGGGGGGGGGGGAAGGTGTGTTGATTTCTTCATTTGTGACGTGTCAGTGTGTTTTTGTCACCTTCTTAATGTGTCCCCTCCTTCCTAGGATCAGAAGTATTGAGGAGAATCTGTGAAACTGTCTTCTAGGTCCTCTGAAAACAAGATGGTATTGGAATGTTTGTTTCCTTTTGCTTTTATTCTTTTCTTTTTTTAAAAAAAAAAAAAACTTTTAATAGTAGGCTTTGTTGCTCTCCTAGTTTCTCCACGAGTGCCTTTTCTACTTTGTGTTAATTCTTAACCTAACCATTTCTTTTTTTTTAATTTCATTTATTGGGAAATCGTGGAATTGCCTTCCTTTTCCTCGTGGCTTTAAGTCCATAGGCTCTTGTCTGCATCTTTTATGATCTGAAAAATGTTGGATTTTCCCTTTAAAGCTAGTCAGAAGTTGTTTTTAATACACACAATACATACTGAAACTTCCCAGATGTTGAGTCTCTGCTTATAGTACTTTCCTTGGTGCCTCTGAAGCTGCTGGTTACCTACAATACAAAAGAGGCAGTCAAAAGTCTTTTCTTTCTCATCCTTTAACACTCAAGTTATGTATCCTCACGTACAAAGCTAAACGGCATGGGTGATCTTGTAACCGACTTTTTTTTATTAAGCCATTGATTATATCAAATGCCTTAGAAACCATGATTACATTCTAAAATGTCTGAGGTGGATCCTTAATGGCCCCATCGCACAGAGAACAGGCCAATGAATTGTACTGCGTCATGAAGCAAGCGGGAACAAAGAGTTAATTAATATGTACCGTCACAGGAGGATTTTTATTTTGAAAGGTGGCGTATAAATTCTTAAAATAAAAATGAATATTCGGTATACAGTACGTTTCACTTTTAGGAAAGATTGGACAACTTCTTGGGGGATTAGGCAATTAATATCTACTAATGCAAATGGATTACTTCCCGATTCATAGGAAACTTATCCTAAATATTGGAAGCCAACAATCGAAGGAAAACTTATCTCCTCTAATTGAGGACTGTAATGCTTCCCAAATGCTTGACTAGAGGGGTCCCAGTTTATTTTTTTATTTTTTGCCTTCTATCGAAGATTCCGTTGGTATCTTCAATGCACTGCAGATTTATTTTGTGTCCATTGTGTAGATAATTTTCAGACCTCATTGTTTCCCCCCTAGAGCTGCTATTAGAAACCCTTCTGTCTTACCATTTATGCTGGTAAATCTGGCAGTTTCTAGTTCTGAGGCAGATATGACGACTCTGCATCTGCCATTTTGAGATTTTTAACAGTTTTTTTTTTAGAGTCCAGGATCTGCAAAACAGCAGAACCTAAATTAGGGAATGAGGCTTGTAGGACATTTTACAACATGGTGTTTAATATGGAAATGGATCTTTCTTTCTTTCTTCCTTCCTTCCTTCCTTCCTTCCTTCCTTCCTTCCTTCCTTCCTTCCTTCCTTCCTTCCTTCCTTCCTTCTTTCTTTCTTTCTTTCTTTCGAGTGCCAGGCCCATCTCCATTGAAGACAAGGCTTACAAGAGAAATTCTACATTGATCTCAAAAAGCAGGCAAGAATATATGGGAAGTAACCTTGATTTTTTTTCTTTTTGACATCTCAGAGATATGAATCCCTGCTTTCTTTTACTATAATACTATTAATTGGTTAAAAAATTCAGGAGGAGTTTGTCAGCACCTTTTCCAGCAAGCAGGTTTTATTTAAAATTGTATGTTTTTGTAAACTGTTGCTCCATCAGATTCATGGATTGGCTAAAGTTAAACCAATCATAAACACTGGTCTGTAATGTCAGCATTCATATCAAAAGCATAATCTCAGAAGTAAGGCATTACTTACTTTTAGAAGCTTTTGGAAAGCTTTAGAAGCTTTTGGAAAGATTACCTTCTTGTAGCAATTTACCTTCTGTATAGGTATGTACATAAAAAAATAGTTACATTGAGTAGGATATACTGTATCTGTATCAAAATGGAATGTTACAGTATATCAAAGTGTTACAGTATATCAGAGACTGATGTGTGAGAAAAAATTGCCCACACAGTATATAAGGAATCGTGTAAATGTGAAATATTCAGAAATCAGGTGGAAATCGGGTTTTTTCTTATTTGTTGTGGCTTATAGCTTTCTCCTGGACCATGCCGTGAAAATAAATCTGGTAATTTAATCTGGATTTTTGATCATAGTGCTGCACCATAAATGTTTTTCTGTGTAAACAGAACAGTACAAAGTATACATTTATTAGGATATAGAAAGCAAGACTATGTTACTTTCTTTGCAGAGCATACAAGCTCCTATTATAGAAAACTTAAAGAATTTCCTGTGGTATATGACTACAACTGATGGGGAAAGCATACAAAACTTTTTTTTCATGAATTAACGCTTCTCTAGTTAGAAATTTGCAGTAAGAACAGCTAACAGTAGAGAATTGTTTTATAAAAAGCAAGAATCAGTTATGTGTAATGCTGACATGTACATTATACACAAACATTATGATACATTTTTAACAACTAAGAGAAATACTGGTCAGTTTGATTTTCCAGTAGTAGTTGCATGCTTGTCTTAGTATCAGTTTTATATTACCATTCTGCTAAAATGCATTAAACAGCATGCAATCTAAAAATTAGCTTGCAATCTAAAAACGAAAGCATTTTTTTTAATAATATAGCAGAATAATTTTTTGAAACCCAGAATTCTTGAAACTACAACTGCTTGTATTACCCTTTCTAGGAGATACTCTCTGCTCCCAAAGTCTTGTGTAGTATTTTCCCATTTACTTCCTTTTGCTTTGTTTCTAACTCTTATTTTAACAACCAGTAGGAAAATATAATATCAGTCTTACCCAGTCTGATGCCCTTCAAATATATTTGGATTATAATCCTCAGAATTTCTAACCAACATAGCTCTTGCATCAGATTAGAGAATACAAGGCTGATTTATAAATTTCTATGTTGGGTGGAGTTGTTTGTGTTCTTGACAAATATTATTAGTGCAGTATTTCATATTGCATGTAGATGCTTTTCATCAGGTGCCTCTTGCACACTTATTTAATTTTGTTTAATCTGTATGGTGGGTTTATGAAGAAATGTTTTAACTCATCAGTGGTAAAGTAATGGAACTTTCCAAATAAATTTGGGAGGAACTCTAGCTAGTAATGTTTTCCACTGAGCGTGAGATTTCCTAGTGTTCAGGCTGCAGCGAGAGCAAATGCATGAACGCAGTATTAAGTCTTCCACATGGGCAACTTGAAAATCAGGTTTCCCTTTTGTGGACTGATTGGAGAGCTGCAATTGAACATTCTATGATTTAATTAAACATGCTGATTTTTTCAGTCTAGAATAAAGCCATGCTAAATGTGAATATAACTTATATTTGTGGAGCTTACTGGCATAATTCTCATTTTAGAGTATTAGCAGATAAAGATTTTCATGGATTTAGTCATATAGATAGCTAGTACAGTCATACGCTACTAACAAGACGTGTCTAAATCTCTCCTGTTCTCTATTACAGTAACCAGCATGTTTATCCTGCCACTCTTTTCTCTTCCTGAAAATAATGTGTGTCAGGACCACCCATAAAATCAAATGTGTTTGCAAAGCATTCTGTGCCAGAAGTAAATCATGACAAGTCTTTCAAATTCTTGTGCTATTTCTTTACGCAATTGTTTTTAAATAGGGTGGTATGGCTTTGTACTACATCACCTGAGACACTGGCATGGAATAAATGCTTAGCAGTGGGTCTTCTTTTTTTTTTAAAGGATGTTCAGATATTTTTGCTCTACCAGTACTTGGTTTAATCCTGCAGTCTGTGCCTGAACACATGTAATTGCAGAACAAAGATTATACTGCTGGATTGGATGGATTCCAAAGGTCTAAAGTATAAAACACAGCGTAAATATAAAAGAAGGATAAAAGAGGTGCATAGCCTTATTTTGACCTGCACAGTGGAATGTTCTTGCTTCAGAGGGATTTGTGTGGGACTGTGTCAAGACAAGGCACATTCCTTAGTTGAAGGGTTGGGATAGCAATACATTGGGAATGTGACCACTTTCTACCTAGTAAGGCAAAGTGGCTGTGCATATAGCCCCAAGTAAAAAGCCAGGAACCTCTGCCCAAGCCTTGCAGAAGACCTTGCTGGTCTCAAGATTTAAACATGTAAATTTGGTTTGCTAACTCTGTGCAGTTCCTATTTCAAATACTTTGTGTAATCTGATCACAGGAAAATCCTTACGTTAATTGGGGGAAAGGTTTCAACTTTTTCTCTCTCTTTTTTTTTTTAGGTAAAGGGGTTGGTAGAAAAGGGATCCCAAGGAACACAACAGGGCTCTAAGAAGTTAATGCTGTGGGGCAAGGCAAACTGAAAAAGGGGAGGGGGGGAGGGTGTTCCTTACTAATAGGTCGTCCTCTGTACCATAGAAAACGGGAAGAGTAGATTTGCTACGAAACTTCATGGTTGCTGCTGATTCCAAAATGGTACCAGCTCTACTTTGGGGTACTAGCCAAATAAACTTTGTTTTCTATCTGTTTCATTATAGCTTAAAATCTGCATTATGCAATTGGTGATTTGAAATTGTCTTCCATTATTGAGACACTGAAGGGTGTAATGGCACGATTTCCTTTGCTAGCTTCTTAGAAGACTGGCCTGCTAACACCAGTTTGGGATGGGGGGGAATGCATATTATGTTCTATTAGATGTGTTTCTCTTGCAGCAAGATCCTTCAACCTAGAACGATGTGTGAAAGCACCCAAAGATTTTATTTTTTTAAAATGGATTAGACTGAATGCTTGCTATATGTTCTTGTGCTATTTTATTTTTAATTTCCCCTTAGTTAGGCTAAAAACAAAAGAATACCAAAATATATTCCTTCTTTCTTTCTTTCTTTTTTTCTTTCATTCATTCATTCATTCTTTTTCTTTTTTTGCCCTTTTGTATCAGTAGACTAGTCCTTGTTTTTTTCTTTTCCTCTGCTGGTCAGCTGTTCATTGTACGACTTGATGCCATCTGAGCTAGTAAAATTGTTTTCTATGTCTAGTTCGTTTCCTCTCCCAATTGCTCTGCCTTTTTCATTGTGCCACGTAGGACCTTTGATTCGGGTGAAAACTGACAGCTCTTTTAATGTGTCTCTTTCCTCTAGAGCCCCAGATCAATTCCAGTAATGAGGTGATCATTACTTCCCCTGCAATTCCTATCCTACTACAGTGCAACCTCACCACTAGCCCCAGCCCCCTCCTTCACAGCTACTGGGTAAAAAATGGAGAAGAGATGCCAAGTACCATAAAGAATTCAGACACGACAGAATACAAGTAAGTCTGAAAAGTAATATTTCATCTCTGAAAATTCAGTGGCGCTTCTGCCGAAGCGGCCGAGTGGCCTGTTGGTAGCTGAACAGCTCTTAATAATCAAAACGAGCAGCTTTAGCTAACGAGATTTAGATACTGTCCAGTCCTCCAGTCTTCTGTAGAATGGCACAAAGAAATAATATCCAAAACTTTACGAATGCTGTTGGTCAATGGGGTGGGCTTGGTGCCATGCGTTGTTTGTTTCTTTGTCCATTAACCAGCAGAATGCATGTAGTCCTCCACTTACGACCACAACTGAGCTCAAAATTTTTGTTGTTAAGTGAGACAGTCATTAAGTGAGTTTTTGCCCCATTTTACAACCTTTCGTGCCACAGTTCTTAAGTGAGTCACTGCAGTGGACAGGTTAATAACATGGTTGTTACGTGAATCTGGCTTCCCCATGGACTTTGCTCGTCAGAAGGTTGAAAAAAGTGATACGCTCACTTTAGAATAGAAGAGAGCTGGAAGGGACCTTGGAGGTCTTCTAGTCCAGCCCCCTGCTCGAGCAGGAGGACCTATACCATCTCAGACAGGTGACTGTCTAGCCTCTTCTTAAAAAATCTCCAGTGATGGAGCGCCCACGATTTCTGGAGGCAACTTCTGTTCCACTGGTTAATTGTCCTCTTTAAAGTAAATGTGATAATTCGATTATTTTAACACAGCTTTTTTCTTTTAAAAAACCCCCATAATTTAAAATAGTTCAGAACTTCAGTTTTAAAGAGGGAAGGTCCTATTTAGAATCCCCATTGGCTCTGTAGAATATTAGGGGAAGTGCTCTTTTCAGGATTTCTTATATAGGTGGTTCGCATTGCATTTATAGGTGTGGAAATTTTCCAGCAAAGAAAACAACTGAGTATTTATGGCTTGGTAAACCTGGCTAATTTGTCACCTGCTCTTCAAGAATCCATGTTTCTTTTTCTTTGCAGAATCTCAAAGCCTAGAGCTGATGATTCAGGCGAATATTGGTGCGTATTTGTATTTGCTGGCTCCCCCGAAGCAAATGCTACAATAGAAGTGAAAGGTACCCATATTTTTTAATTCATTTCCTTTGTCTTCCCCTTTTTAAGCCTTAGCTTCTAAAATTCTCCTTCTGCAATTCCTCATGGAACATTTTGTTTTATTTTGTTTTATTTAGTGCTTCCAGTCTTTACGTATTATGAACACTCACCCATCCTCATACAGTTACTTGGCCATGTTCTAACGCAGGGGTAGTCAACCTTGGCTCTTTTATGACTCGTGGACTTCAACTCCCAGAATTCCTGAGCCAGCTAAGCTGGCTCAGGAATTCTGGGAGTTGAAGTCCACGAGTCATAAAAGAGCCAAGGTAGACTACCCCTGTAATCTAACGGATCTTTTGAAGCTGCTAAAAAAAGTATCCCTGCTGCAACTTTCTCTAAGACGAAGTGTTTTCCTGTAGGAATAAATGCTATGTCTTCCAGCCTAGTCCTAAATTGTTTAGGATTTTCTGCTCAGGAGAGGGTGTAGAATTATCTGCCTTTTAAGAATGAGAGCATATTTTTTTTCCTGGCTTTAGTTTATTGCTCCACGCTGTTCTGCTGTTCAGTACAATCTAATTCCACATCTGAAAACTTTCCCCCAGACTTTTCTAGACACTGATGGTTTACTCAGTGAGGTACAAGACATTAAAAAACAAAATCCAGAATTGGACACGAATACTCTGCAGACTCTCCACTGCGTAATCGTTCAGTGTAAAATGGAAGGAAGCTCTAAATAAATAACCAGTGGAAAACTGAATATATTAAGCCAGCGAAAGGCCCACCGCTGGGCTTTCTTGAGTTTTGAACAGCGGGTGACCATTTTGAATTTCATTATATAGGGTTGTGCCAGCTCTATAGAGGAAATGGATTGAATTATAGACCGTTCTCTTTTTCTTTTCTTTTCTTTTTTTCCCTTTTCCTTTTTCGTGTCTCTTAGCGGCTCCCGATATTACTGGGCATAAGCGAAGTGAGAACAAGAACGAAGGGCAGAAGGCATTGATGTATTGCAAGTCTGTTGGCTACCCACATCCAAAATGGACGTGGGCCAAAAAAATCAACGGGATGTCTGTGGTGAGTAGAAGATCGAACTCCACTAGGTAAGTTCAGCTGTTGGCTGAAGTTTGCAATGCGAGGCCAAGGAATGAAACTATTCCAGTATTGTTGCCTTCTAATGGCAGATAATTCTCTCTTGTTCTGCAAAATGGGTGGGGGTTTTTTGGGTGGGGTGGGGGGGAAGCTTTCTATTTGTTCGTTAAACTTGAGATATGAAGATCAAAACTGGAGACTTCTTAAGAGCAAAGCCAGGCGTGGTCCCTGCACCAGATGCTAAAAAAATGTGACTTCTAGGCAGGAAATCTCTCGCAGACGCGCCTGCTTTCTAATGCAAAACAAGAATCCAAACATCCAATCGCATATGGCTTTCCTCAAGCTTTCTGCATCCTTTTCTGACTAACCTAACCTTGCTTTCCCCTCAGAACTCTTCCTCCATGGCTATTTGAAATTCAGGTAATCCTCGACTTACAACAGTACATTTAGTGACTGTTTGAAGTTACAACGATACTAAAAAAAAATGACTTATGGCCGTTTTTCATACTTACAACTGTTGCAGCCTCCCCATAGTCACCTGTTCCAAATTCAGACGCTTGGCAGCCGACTCATATTTATGACGGTTGCAGGGTCCTGGGGTCCTGTGATCATCATCCCCTTTTGCAACCTCCTGACAAGCAAGGTCAATGGGGGAAGGCAGGTTCACTGAACAATCACATTATTAACAACTGCAGTGGTAAGAAAGATGGTAAAAAAAAAAAAACCCTGTCTCGCTCAGCCACAGAGGCTCAATTGTGTCCGTAAGTCGAGGATATACCTCTATACTTGTCATCTCCCACCACAAATGAATTTAAAGAGGTTTTAAAAGGCAGGAAGACCTCAGCGAGTCGAGTGACTATGGTAATGAGTTTGCCATGCTTCCCTCATGCCCAGCTTACCAAACTTTTGGAATGAGGAATGTTAAGCTTGTTCAAAAGATGGGATGTGGGCCTACAGCAGAATAATTGGAACGGTTTGGTAATTTTGCTGTGGCTTACCCTTTTCTCATTAGGGTATTGACAACTCTTCCGGTCGCTTCTTCATTACCAACAAAGAGAACTACACCGAACTCAGTATTGTGAGCCTCCACATCAACGACGATCCTGGTGATTACGAATGCAATGCCACAAACCCCGTGGGCACGGCCACTGAAATCACCATCCTGCGTGTACGCAGCCACTTGGCTCCTCTCTGGCCCTTCCTGGGAATTCTGGCAGAGATCATCATTCTTGTGGTTATCATAGTGGTTTATGAGAAAAGGAAGCGGCCAGATGAGGTTCCAGATGGTAAGTTTCTTCCACACCGCTATGTTTACCGGGAACCAGGTCCCTCTTCTTTTTCCTTGGGGAGCCTTCCCTTTTAAAAAGGTGGCGTTATCAATCCATAGTTCCAAATTTCAGGCTGCTGAAGACTGCTGGAAAATCCTTGTCCCTCAGTCCTCGCATTTGAGAGGCCTTGACAGAGACAATACTGAAATATTTTTATCTTTAAAAAGACTTGTCAAGCGAGGGAAAATCAGGCAGTTCAAACGAATATAAAGGTTTATTGGGAGCTGATGATCTCTGCAAGAATCTGAACTACTAGTAGCGGTCAGGGGAAATTAGCGGGAATTAAGAATAGAAGGAATTCAAGGTGGGCTAAGATCTCTTGTGGGCACATAGGGACTCAAGACTGATGACGCATTTGACCCCTCCCTCCCTCCCTCAGGCTCATCCTGGTCGTGTCCTACAGACTTCTTCCTAGCAAGTGAGACATTTTAAAGACAAGGTTGCTTGTTACTAAATTCACCATGCGAGGAAAAGAAAGAGGATTTTTTTCAAACTAATTGATACACGTTTTTAAGATCTCATGATCTCAGATACGTGCAACCTGCTTTTTGCATGAAAAAAGATCTAATGCTTTAAGCAACTAAAACGCATCGTAATGGAAAGCTTTTGCTCATAACTTGCATTTTAAATGGTAGAGATGGGTAGCCTTTTGAAATTGTTCACTGAACCCCACAGTCATCCCATAACCATCCCGTAATCTTTTGCTTAAGATACCTTGGCGGGAGTGAAGCTTTAATCTTAATTTTCTTTCCCCGCTGCATGAAGCCCATTCTTCTCAATATGGCTGTTTCTTTCCTATTATTATTTGTGAGGAGACAGTGGTCTGTTCTGTCTTCTAACTCAGCGTTTCTCCATCTTAGCAACAATAAGATAGGTGGACTAAGGTGTGGAAACACTCCTAGCTAATGGCTAGCTGCCTAGCTGGACCTGTCTATATGACAAGCCATAGAGAGATCATTCACAATTGAGGGTTGTCTGTCTGTGTGTGAAATATTAATTTATGAGAAACGATAGAAAACCATGAACATGAGCTGAAGATAAATGGTATCTTCCTTTTAAATGGGGAAGTTATTTTAGAAATAACATCTTGAATAAGATACTGTGTTCATGAGATAAGGACTGCCTCATGTAGATAATAAAGCACATTAAATTGCAATTAAACAGAAACGAACACTGCCTAAACAGTGTGATAATTCTGGACCAGCCATGTAAGATAAGATAAAAATTTTAAAAGGGTGGTCCTGTCAATAACAAATGCTCAAAGTATCATAATGGATTCCATCTGACAGCCCTGTTTTTGCACAGCTGCCTTGGCAAAATGGTCAGCTTTTTGGAATGAGCAGGTCAAAGGAAAAGCTGCTTTGGAAAGTTTGTGTAGAAATGTTTATATACATAAAATCTAATAATTTATTTAGGAAACTTATGTAGCTGCCTACTCGCTCACAGCGACTCTAGGTTTACAAGCAATAAAAACACAAAAAAAGTAAAAAAAAAAAAGAACAATAACACACAGGCACACACACAATAATGGCAGTTTTTGTTCTTCCAATTTCCAAATACACGTGCATCTATTCTAGCTTGGGCATTAATTTTAGCTTGGTCAACTGGAATATAGTCTATATCCAGAAATATACAAGTCAAATCTTTTCAACAGTTCCCAATCCCCCCCCCTTTTTTTAAAAATGCCCTTTTTATTTTATTGTTCTGCTTCTCTGGGGTTCATCCAGCAGTAGCATTAACTGCTAACCATGACAGCTATACAGTGGCTGAAGGAAAATTGCTTGCTTGTATGTTTGCGTACTACCATGGACCAATGCAAGTTCTTTCCATTCAGCCAATGGAGGTAGAGAGGATTGTCTGTTTCTGCTGCAGCTTCCTGGGCGGGCAGCTTCTTGATAAGAAAGGAGAGGGGGTGGGGTGGGAGGGGGTTGGTGGGTTGCTAAGCTCTTCACTTCTGACAAGATGCAAAGGGAATTGGGTTGGCGCCAGCTTTGAATTTGGCATGAAAGCAGTCGTGCACGGTCTCCTTTTGAAGAGATTGTTTTGTTTTGTTTGGAGAAGCATTTGCCGATGCTGGACTGGTCTTCTTCATTTGAACACATTTCGAGACAGATGCATGTGCCAGGAATGCGTGTAGACATTCTTGAGAGTCCCTTTGGCTTCTCAGTGGCTTGAGAGTTTGCTTCCTGACTGTGATGGGGTCTGGCACTGGACAGTGGGGATACCCTTAAGGATGCATTTCCTCGCCTTTGCAACTGAAGCTTCCTTCTAAGCATCGGAGCTTACGGGGACTTCCTTACCGAGCTTCCGAAGAACTTAATTTTTTCAAGCCTTCCTATCTCTCAGGAAGGAATGGCTATTTCCTTTTGGCTGTTTCAGTGTTTGCACCAACTGTTGGAGAGAGGAGGAGGGGGGAACCACACAGAATGCACTAACACCTCTGAAGAAGGCGCTGGGTCAGTACTCCCAGCCATAAAATGCTGAAGGAGGGCTTAAAACCTAAAGCCCTTCCTCCCTCATTGGTGGGAGTATGCTTCACCTTTAGGGCCACAACGCATCCTTGGGGGGTTTGAGTCACTTGTGGAACCCAAATTCCAACAAGCAGGTGAACACAAGAACAAAGACTCTGAGACAAACGTGCACAACTTTTGTGTTGTTTTAAATTGATGTGTAATTAATTCAAGAGAAACTTGATTGACAGGACCACGCCTGATAATTTTCTCCTTTCTGTCTGCCAGCTGCAGTGGAGGATATCTGAACTGGGCACCTCCTGCACGGATGTTGGCACATGCTTAACAGAAATGATTCGTGAATACCAGTTACGCATAGCTCAGTGTTCTATTTTGTCACAGTGAGCAGTTAATATCGGGCCCAGGCCTGCCATCCTCCTTGCCCGTAGGATCCCATTTTGAGCACCGAAACCAAGAATAGGAAAGCGAGAAGGCACCTACGGCTAGTCCTCGACTTAACAAAAGTTCGTTTAGTGACCGTTCAAAGTTACAACTTTGAAAGTTACAAAAAAGTGACTTAGGACCAGTTTTCATACTTGCGACCGTTGCAGCGATCAGAATTCAAGCACTTGGTAACTGACTCATATTTACGACGGTTGCAGTGTCCCCGGGGGTCCACTTTTGTGACCTTTTGACAAGCAAAGTCAATGGGGAAGCCAGATTCACTTAACGACTGTTTGACCCATTTAACAACTGCAGTGATTCACTGAACGGCTGTGGCAAGGAAGGTCATAAAATGAGGCAAAACTCACTTAACAAATGTTTCGCTTAGCAACAGAAATTTTGGGCTCAATTGTGATCCTAAGTCGAGGACTACCTGTATTTGAAAATGCGATTAAACAGATAATTTAGTGACGTATTAGTGATTCCAAGGGAGTGAGGTTAGTCTCTTTTGTTTAATCCATTTATTGCACCTCTGTCTTCCCGGCGAGCTTCTGCTATGTTGGAACTGCATCCTCAGAAATTCCCAGCCAGCCTGCTGGGGAAAAAAAAATCATAATTTCCCTATAGAAATGGCCAGGGCTTGACTGTAACTCTATTTTGAGCTCTCCAAAGGCACCTCATCTACTTCACCAAATCAGCATAAAAATCTAAGGTTGCTGCATTCAAAAGGAGGGTTTGACTTCATTGTCGACCTATTTGTGCCTTCTTTCTCTGTGTGAGACAGTTGCATGCTGTGTGTGGAGAGTGTTCTTCGATTTAACTCCGTTCTGATGGTTTTGTGAATCGGGCTAGCCTCAGTGGATTCCTTTTGTACTCCCAATGACACGGCAGACCGAATTGGTCCAGATATATCTGAGACACCCTTTTATTATTACCTGGGTATTCTCAGTGTAGTTGGTGTTCCCTACACGAAAACAGACGATCATCACTTTTAACCTTGACTTTCCAACGTCCTAGATTTCGGTGTTCCTTGGAGTGGTGCTGAGAAACTGCCTTCTTTACTATTTTATGTTCAAATCAACGGCCATTGATTCAGAGAGAGAAATATCCTGCACGTTTTGATGTATATACCACATGCGCAATGGGCACTTTTGCTGTGTTGTGCTGGAGTTATAAAAAAAAAAAAGCAGAAATGAATTTCTGCAATCATTGCAGAGGAGGTCTTTGTGATAGTTTTCAATAACTCATTGGGCTGTAGCTTTTGTTGCACAAACAGGGACCTGTTTTCATGTTACACTCAAGCAGTTACTTTCCCTTCCTCCTTTCTTCTTCTTATTTCATTCTATCAAGTCTAGTGTATGATGGCTTCCTTGGGGGGGAAAAAGTCTTTCTATTGGATTAGTGATAAATCAACAAACACATACTTTTCTAGAAGATGTGTGTTTTGAAGTAAGAAGTAAAAACTTCAGCTGGTTTTCTTCCAGCTCCTCTCTGTGTTAATTTTAGCCTTAAGGCACGGTGCCATGTTGTTTTCCTGTTTGAATTGTTTTGCAATTTGGAATAAAATAAAGAATGCATGGTTTTCTTTCCTTGGCAGGGCAGCTGCCCCATTTTTATTGCATTTTGTTCTAATACTGATTTTCTTGGCTTGATCCTGGTTATAAATAATAATGTGAAGAAAGCAATTTAAACATTCCTCTTTTCCTTCCTTCCTTCTTGTCAATTCCACTCATCTAACCTCCTTAGCAAAAAGTGTGTTTTGCTTGCCTGGAAGCAAAGGAATTGTTGCTTACAACTGAGGTTTCCTTGTATGCAGACCGCACAAAAAGCCAAGCTTAATGAGTGGCTTTGTCCTTTATCCCAGGTATCAATTTTTATAGATGCTCTTTCCAGCCACTTGGATTGGTTATGGCCAAATGTTACTATTGTTAAATACCAGTAATGTCTCCAGTGCCCCCACAGGCAGGTTTCTATAAAGATTTTAAATATGTTGCAGGCATGTGCATTGTAGCATATAACTGGGCTATTTATGGGAAATGTCCCCCAAGTTTTTTTTAAAAAGTATGTTTATTGTTCTGTGCACTTTGGGCTGTTGAAATGTTAATCAGGTTACTCACAATAGTTTCAAATTTTCTCGGCTTTTACAATAGTTTTCCCTGAAAATGTATTTGTCCAGCACGGTGTTCCTCCCTTTAGTATCCAACTTAACGTGATAGCATACTCTTCTGTAGATTTGTTTTTACACATAGTCCTTGTTTAGCGACGACACTTGAGATCAGCAACTTCGTTGTTAAGTATAGTGAAACCGCAATTGTGTTTACAATCTGACTTCTACTTCCTTTTGCTACGTATACCCGCAAAGGTCATAAATAAAGATTGGCCCTAAAATTACTTTTTCATCACTGTCATAACACTGAACAGTTGCTAAAGGAGGCAGCCGCTAAACAAGCACTGCCTGTGCTATTGAGGATCCTAGTTCGCGTTGATTTATGGACCTCTGCAAGAAGATCCACTGATTGCTGCTTAGCAAATGCATGCAGTGTGTGGCCTCTATTCCTAATCCTGGTTAGGAGAAAAAAAATGGGCATTTGTTTCCTTCTCTTTCCTCCCCTTAACTCTTTCATTGGGAACATGTGGCTAATGGCAGAAAGACGTTCCTTCCTTCACTATCCCCTTGTTTCTAATTTTTATTTTGCTCTCTCTCCTTGTCAGGTTGTGACAGGTCAGAAATAAGAGAGACCCAGATCTAGATTGTAGCCCGGTGTGGGGGAGATTTCCAAACCCGGGTCTCTTACAACATCTGTACGTGTGTACTGCCTCCTCTGTGCTTGGGAATAAGACAGGATAAAGGTGCTTCTCTCCTGCCGACTCCCAGTTACAGATTCCCACTTTATAAGCCATTCTGCTGTTTTGGCAGAGAAACAAAACAAAACGAAACCCGGGTTTACAGTAGTGGGCAAAATTATGGAAACCTTTTGGGGAAAAGTGTACAGCAGAAATGCCATCTTTGGTTAAGTTTCCACCCATTTTTCTTCTAATTTCTTTATAACTGTAGCCTTGTTCGCTTAATAATACTATTTTACATCGCTTTCTGGGCGACCAGTCAACTCTTTGCACCATTATTTTAATTTTATTACGTTTTACAAGCTCACTAAATGAAAGAACACAAAAAAACCCAATCAACTTGATAGCCATCCCATAACACCCTGACAAATGTCCTCCTCTCAGCTTCAATACAGGACATCAATCACTGATTCCTACTGTGATCTGATTGGCTCATGGACAAAATAAGATGACACCTGATTGGCTCTCTAAACACTCATGCTCATTGGCTACAGCTGGATGAAGGAGAGCTACCTGAGATCAACCTGAGCAAGTTGTGCTTCCTTTTTCTGGTTATTTGGCTATAACCTTTCATAGAATACAGTACAGATAATTGAACCAACTATGTTGCATTACGTTCTTGATTAAATTATCTTTCATTGATATATAATTTTATGGTGCTACTCCAAAAAAAGTGGTGTTATTAGCCATCAAAGCTCAAAAATACACTTTTCCCAAAAGGTTTCCACAATTTTGGCCACTACTGTAAAATCGACTTACTGATTAGCCTGTTCTTAAATCTCTTCCGCCTCCCCCTGCCCCTAAACCAAGTTCCTAAACCTCATTTCAAAAAAAGCGACTGTCCCATATTTTTATATAGAGCGTATAGGATTTATGCTTGTCCATTTTGGAAGGGGACGCCTTTGTAAAATTCAGCTTGTGATTTAAAAAAATAAAAAAACTAAGACGGCTGCTCGGAAGGCTTCAAAGAAGCCGTGCTTTTTTACACGCATGTCCTCTTCAGAGGTTCTGTGTTTTGGTGGCGGACTAATTTTTTTTGTATCCTAGCGCCAACGTGTAAAATGAGAAGTTGGGAGTCTTAACTTGATGACGTCAGTGGAAGGCACGAGGCAACGGTAGTCTGCACATTGTAGCCAGGTGGAGCCCAGGGGCCTTTCTTAATTGACCTCCGGCTCAAATGCTAGCGAATTAGAGAATTACTAGAACCTGCTGAGTAATATTGTTATTTATCAGTTACTATGACTTCTTTTTTTCCCCCTTTCAATTGCATCATTCCTTTAAAAATGGTGGTAAGTGAGAGCTTGCATGCTTTGGAGTTTGTTTCTTCTCCGCTTCAGTCTATACGATGCACAGTTCATGACGTTAACACTTTTCCTTAGTTTTCTCCATTCTCATCCACCACTAATTTGGGCTTCAGTTTGCTATCGAACCCTCCCATTTTTTTTCCCTAAGTTGTTCCATTCTTTTTTTCTTTCTTTCTTTTTCCTTCCTACACTTCTGTTTCTCCCCTTTACTGGTCAACTTCTCTAGGGGTTTGGTCCTTTTTGTCTGTCACGTCCTGTATATGGTGGGATCGATTTTTTTTTGGTAAAGGCGCAGTGGCTGACCCAGGAGCTATTGACCGACAAAGGCTTTCTATAACAGCCACGCTTGACTTGACTGGGCATAGAAAGGAGAAATGGCCATCTTGCCAGTCCACAGCAGAGTTGCATGTCAATCAACCGTTACCTCCCCGAGCTCTGCCACTTAATGCATTCATGTTAGAAGCCTCCATCTTGCTTCCTCATGTAAAGTCCAAGCCCAGTTTCGTTCCATTTGTAAGCTCATTCTTGTTCCACCTCCGTGTTTGAGGACCGGTCTGTCTCAGGTGGCATAAGTTAGAAGCTGTGCTCAGAATGCGTTAGCCAACACGCTCCCCCCAAAAACCCCTTGTTTCAGGCTGCTGTGAATTGAAGCGAGGTTTCGAGCAGAATGACGGTGTTGAACACGCCACTACTAACCCTGCTAACTCCTGGGGAATGAAAACTAAGACTTTTCCTTAATGCCAGCACCAGCAAAGCTTCTATAATAGACCGTCTCTTGCTTAGGCTGCCTTTGAGAGCTTCGGGGGGGTTGAAAGATGTCTGTTGGAGGGGAAGCTTAGTTTTATCGTAATGTGCTTCCATGTTTCCAAACCTGATGTGTCTCTGTATATCTCCACTGTATATACAGCACATTGATGTCTGATTGTCCTTACTAGTCCTAGTTCTCTGTACCTTGTTCTGATAGTTTGCTGTGAGTAGCAGACTTCTGTGGACACGGGTGTGTTATTTTGGCTGTCCAGCTGTTAGTTTGTGATTAGCTCTTTTTTTTTCTTCTTTTGTTCTTCCTTTTTTTTCGTTCTGGTAACTGTGCTGGCGGTGGCTTAGCCGCTCCGTTGCCTCAAAGGTACTGATGGAGTAATGTTCAGCTTGGACCAACATTACTCCTAGTGTGTGCTCATGCAGTTGCTTACACTGTTAAAGACTGTAGTTTCCATAAATGCTTCGTGTGCCCTAAGTCCCCCCCCTTGTGGAATCCTGCTGAGTTTGTATCCAAACCACAAATTACAAGAAAACTTTTTTTTTTTAGCTTGCCAACTATCAATAAATAAAATAGTGATGTAATGCAGAACAGGTTGCCAGTGAAGGTGTTCTACACACAGCACATGTTATGGATTCGGTTTTTTTATTGCTTAAAATGTGCCTCTCTTCTTTACTCCGTGTAAGGTAAAGTACAAACGAAAAGTCGAGTTGATCATAAAGAAGCCTACGTGAAAAGGGACAAGTTGATTATTATTATTATTATTTTCCTAATCTTCTAAAATTATAAAGGGACAAATTTCTGGCCCTCCCAGGTAACAAGCTGAAGTGTCTGTGATGTGTATTAGCTGGGTAAATATCATTTGTGTATGTAATCACAACAAAAGCTTGCTGCTTTTGGAGGGGCTGTTTTGTATCAATCAAAATTACATCTACCACCTTCTGAAATATTTTATTCAGAACTTGGAGCAAAGTGTCTGAAAGATGACTTTGGAAAAAGAGACAGGACAGACATGAAATCCTGTACCAAGCATTTCTGGGGAGAGCTAAGATGTGGGGGGGAAAGCATTGATTTTAGAAACAAACAGCAGGATTTTACAACTGAAATGTTGGTTTGTCTTCTCATCTCTCTTGTAAGATTGAACCACTGGAATTTGGGGATAAGATGAGTATATCCACATTTGCAAGAATCTGTCCACTTAACCGTTGCATTTTTTCACGATAAGCATTCAAAAAGTGTTGACTGAAATGATTTTGAACAGCCTACTTTGTCATCTAAACTCAAATCCAGGCCAAAAAAAAATATCCCTTCATGAAATCTTTGCAATTTCAAATGGAATGGCCTTTAGATAAAGCTATTGGTAGACAATATTTTGTACTATCTCTCAAAAGTTTACCACAGAACCTAAGAGCCCTTTTTCCTTCTCTCTTTCCTTCACTGGATCACAACCCATCCTCTTGCAGACGATGAACCAGCTGGCCCAATGTAAGTATTTCATGGACCTGATCCTCCTATCCCAGATCATTTTGTGCTCTAAATGCTCCATCTTTCAGGCAAGTATATATGACTGTAAAGCAAAATATTTCAAGGCAATGAAGGGTTGTTCTTTCGAGAGCATACAATGAACACTTCCATGTTCCAGAGAAAAATCCTCATCCAAGGCAGTGCTTCTCAATCTTAGCAATTTTAAGATATGTGGACTTCAACTCCCAGAATTCCCCAGGGGTGTGACAATCAAGAACCTGTCACGTTGATTTTTTTTTTGGTTCGTTTGCTTACTCTGGCCTTTTAAATCTCATGGTAGATCAGTCGAGATATTTTTGCATGCAATTAACTATCAGAAAAGGGAGGAGCAATAGAAGTGGTGATGCTAGTGGAATTGCTACCTTGAACAGAGTTATTTGGGGAAAGAAAAATTACATAGAACAAATCCTTCCCCAGAGAGAGAGGAACTTTTAAAAATAACAGTATAACAAACCGTATAATAGATAGAAACCAGTGCATTGTACCCAAGTGAATGTAAATAATGCGTTCAGCTGCCACTAAAATGATTGTTCTGGAAAGCCATCTCTGTTTTGTCCACAAGGTTTTACAATGGTTTATATCAGTGCTTCTCACCCTCAGCAACTTGAAGATATATGGGCTTTAACTCCCAGAATCCCCCATCTTAAAATTGCTGAGATTCAGAAGCACTGATCTAGAAGGCCCCTTCCCTTCATCTCATCATATGGTAAATGTTTTTTTGTTCATAACTTTAGTTTTTTCTCAACTTAATTCGGATGTCATTTTGTTTTTCTAGGAAAACTAATTCCACAAACAACCATAAAGATAAAAATCTACGTCAGAGAAATACAAATTAAAAGCAACGCTTATGTAAGTTCGTATAAATTGTTCCTCAAAACTGTGTTTTCATATTTCTTGATTTACTTATCCATTTGGGTTTTTGAAAATGCAAAAACATGGCTATTTAAGCTAGCAGGACTGGCCTAAGGGTTATCTTAATTTTGGTTTTAAAATAATTTTAATAAGAAAAGGCCAATAATTAATATTCTATTTTAATTACATTTTTAAATTAGCATTTTTGTATTACGTACTGTTTTAAATGGCTGTAAGCCGCCCTGAGTCCGTTTGGAGAAGGGCGGGGTAGAAATTTAATAAAATCAAAATCAAATCAAATCAAAAGGGGCATAATTGCATAAGACTGAGTCATCTGTATATAAGAAATTATTTGCAGGTTAAGCTGCACTAAAACTGAATAGAGCCAGCCCTATTCCTGAATATTTTTTAAACACATTTTTGGCTAGTAGGACAATAAAAATCGGACCCACATTACACACACAGATGGGCCACATTTATACAGGATTATAATGATCCACTGTGGCGTGGCTCTTTAAAAAAAATTGGTGAGCCTTTTTAAAAACAAACAAACACAGTGATTCTACCTGTTTTCATTTCAACAAAGAAAACCCAATTTTTATGGTTTTTATAAACACGCACACAGCTTTCCTGACAATAAACAACTTGTAACAAAAAGTTTTTATCTTCTGCCATCTCTACATTTGTGTTTAGAACTCGCTTTTGCTTATCTCCGAGAAAGCGTGTAGCCCTACAATTTTGTTCTAGCTTATTGTAATTAGGCATTTCAGTAATCGCTAATTGTTGTTGTTTTTATTTCCAGAGCTTTACGTTTGAGAGACTGACAGAAACGCCACTTGCTAGACTGAACTCCGAAGGTTGATTTGCAAACTCCATTTTTCTCTGATGCTTTTCTTTGAAGTGGGCAACGGTGACCGTCTCAAGCATGCCTTATTTAGCCGATACTTTTACTAATGCTTCAGAATAGAAGATGTAAACTATTCTGGGCTTGATATGCTGTGGGAATGTTGCTTTTTTTTTTCCTTTTGAGAACTCTAAGTATTACAAGTAAGAAGTCCAATCATGCATGCAGCATTTTTTTTTTTTACTTAACGTAGCTGTTAAAAAAAATGAGCTCTGAAATGCACCTGCTGCCATCTAGTGAAAACCTTTTGTAAAGTACAGCAAAACCTAAAATATATACAGTATATATTTATATTTGGAGGGCGGGGAAACCAAACTACAGTGAGTATTTGATTTTTAAGCTGCTGAATTCATTCCTTATATTGTACGTCTGAGAGAATTATGTCCAGTATGTAGGAGGAATAGTGTAAACTGACATTTGTCCTAAGGGCTCAATCTGTACAGAAAGAATTGAGATATCCTATAATTATAGAATGCAGGATGTGGTCTAACCCAAAAGACAGTGATGGTGAAATACAGTGAGACACTTTTGTTTATATACATATTATGGCTTTAATTTTTTTTCCCCTTTAAATCATGTATATTTCTCATCTTTTTTGCACTGATGGGTTGACAGTCTTGTACATTCAATTCAGGCCGAATTTTATAATTTCTCCTCCCTTTTTGTTTGTTTTAATGATGTTGAAACAGCATCACGGCATGGTGATACTCTATGCAACTTCGTTTGTTTCATTTTTGGCATTAATCCATGTTGATTTAGGATGACTGTAGAATCACAGACATTACAGGGTTCTTAGGTGATGGGCGTACCTGTAGATGCATGACACTTGTGGTGTGTATATTGTTGAAGTGCAACGCTAATGTATAAAAGGGATTCCACTGTTTTTAAAAATAAAGCCTAAATAAAACCGTAGCTCTGGGACCATTTTTAAATTGGAATGTTCTTGAATCAGGATCAAATGAGGTGGCTTCGTGTCATTATCCGTTCTTTACTGTCTCCTCAAACAGCTTTGTGACAGTCCTGTTCCTCGAGGTTGTACATGGGATACTCGGCTGTTCTCAAAACCTTGTAGTGTTTCATCTACTTCTCCACCCTGTCTACAAATGCATGGAAGATCTCAAGGAGACACGGTCTAAATCCCTCTGCCCCACCCGCCAGAGACTCCCTGGATCTGCCCCAACCCTGCCCGGCTCCCACAGGCGTTCCCCTCCCCCACGAGCAACATCGAGATGGTCACGTCCACCCCTGCCATGCCCACCCAGTCTGCCGTGATCACAGCTACGCCCCCCAATGGGCCACGCCCCCCCAGGGCACCACAGCCCTGGCACTGCAATAAATAAGTGGGGTTTGGGTTGCAGTTTGGGCACTCGGTCTCTAAAAGGTTCGCCATCACTGGTATAGGTTCTGCATGAGCGGGGGGCTGGACCTCCAAGGTCCCTTCCAGCTTCTATTCCATTCCATTCTACAATCTATTCTATTCTATTCTCTATTCTATTCTATTCATTCTCTATTCTATTCTATTCTCTATTCTATTCTCTATTCCATTCATTCTCTATTCTATTCTATTCTCTATTCTATTCATTCTCTATTCTATTCTATTCTCTATTCTATTCTCTATTCTATTCATTCTCTATTCTATTCTCTATTCTATTCATTCTCTATTCTATTTTATTCTATTCCTCTTCTATTATTCTATTCTATTCATTCTCTATTCTATTCTCTATTCTATTCATTCTATTCTATTCATTCTCTATTCTATTCTCTATTCTATTCATTCTCTATTCTATTTTATTCTATTCCTCTTCTATTATTCTATTCTATTCATTCTCTATTCTATTCTCTATTCTATTCATTCTCTATTCTATTCTATTCTATTCTCTATTCTATTCATTCTCTATTCTATTCTATTCTATTCATTCTCTATTCTATTCTCTATTCTATTCATTCTCTATTCTATTTTATTCTATTCCTCTTCTATTATTCTATTCTATTCTATTCATTCTCTATTCTATTCTCTATTCTATTCATTCTCTATTCTATTCTATTCTATTCATTCTCTATTATATTCTATTCTCTATTCTATTTTATTTTATTCCTCTTCTATTATTCTATTCTATTCATTCTCTATTCTATTCTATTCATTCTCTATTCTAATTCTATTCTATTCTAACACCTCACCATCAGATATGGTTCTGGGATCTGGAGGCTACTTACCTATCCCACCGGGTCAGATATGGTGGGTGGTCCCTTCCCTTAAGTGGTGCCATCTAGGAGAACTTGGAAGGCCGCCTTCTTGTGACTTGCCCCTGCCCTGTGGAACCTCCTTCCCGCTGAGATCCCAGCAGGCCCTCAACCTCCTTTCCTTCTAGAACCCCTTGAAGAGCTGGTCCTTCCCACAAGGGCCGGGGTAGGGTGAGCCTGGAGCCCAGAAGATGGCACAAGGATGTCTGGGAGAGGTTGCCCCTAGACACCATTTTTTGAGGCTTTGTTCTGATGGTTTGTAGGGAAGGGTGTTTTTATTGGCTTGTGTGCCACCCAGGATTATGGTTACAGTTATTATGGGCAACTAGGTAATTTTTTAAAAAACATATCAGGAGCCGGTTTGGTGTAGCGGTGAAGGGGTTGGCCTAGAAACCAGAAGTTCTAGGTCTACCTTAGGCAAAGCCTGCTGGGTGACTTGGGGCCAGTCTCCTGCTCTCAGTCCAACCTACCTCGCCGGATTGTTGTGGGGAAAATGGAAGGAGGTAGGAGTATTAGTATGTTACAGGCCACACTTGGAATACTGCATCCAGTTTTGGTGACCAGGATGTAAAAAAGATGTTGAGACTCTAGAAAGAGTACAGAGAAGAGCAACAAAGATGATCTGGAGGCTAAAACATACATGGAACGGTTGCTGGAATTGGGTATGTCTAGTTTAATGAAGAGAAGGACGAGGGGGGACAGGATAGCAGCCTTCCAATATCTTGGGCTGCCCCAAAGAAGAGGGAGTCAAGCTCTTCTCTAAAGCACCTGAAGGCAGGACAAGAAGCAACAGATGGAAACTAATCAAGGAGAGAAGCAACCTAGAACTAAGGAGAAACTTCCTGACAGTTAGAACAATTAACCAGTGGAACAACCTGCCTCCAGAAGCGGTGAATGCTCCAACACTGGAAGTTTTTAAGAAGAGACTGGACAGCCATTTGTCCGAAATGGTATAGGGTT